TCGCATAATAGAATTGGAAAGCATATTGTAGTCCTTACAAAGTGTAGTAATGAAGGTAAGAAATCTAAACTTAGAGAGCGATTTCCTGTGGCATGTGAGCCCTCACATCCATATCAATCTTAGTCATTATCCTATAAATTATATAAGAATCCTCCAAGTTTATGTTAGACGTGTGAGTGTTGGCATTGAGATTGGCAAAAAAGAAAGAACTCCATATCTGAGCCAAGGAATTAAGGTGCTTCCTTAGGATTCGTTAACACCCAACTGATAACCATATCCAAAATAACACACAATGGCTACTATCAGATCATGATCAGGATGACCACTCATGAAGGAACATAGAGGGTAATTACTGAAAGGAGAAGTTCTCATAAATATGTTTAATGTCTTCCTATCAAAGGGGACAATGCTTCCTTTAGATCGTGGGCATTAACATAAAACTCCTTAATCTTAGGGAGTTTGATCAATTTAGAGTCATAGGGAATCTCCTTAATGAATAGACGAGGTGTTGGTTTAGGAGTTTTATGCTAATGCTCATGATCTAGAGAGAAACATGTCTCGTTAATCCAAGGTGTTTTCTTTGATAGGAAAATATTGAATATATTTATACAAACTTTTCCTTTCAGTCCTTACGTTCTTGGTACCTTCATGAGTGGTCATCCTGATCATGACCTAATAGCAGCCATTCTATGCATTCCTGGGTATGGTTATCAACTAGGTGTTAATGGTACACCAATCTGAATCCTAAGGAAGCACCTTAATTCCTTGGCTCGTATGTAGAGTTCATTCTCTTTTGCTAATCTCATTCCTAACACTTACACGTTTGTCATCAACCTAGAACATCCTTATCTGATTTATGGGATATTGACTAGGGTTAATATGGATATGGGGCTTCATATCTCATAAGAAATCGCTCTCATTGTTGATAATGATTTATGTAAGCTTAGATTTCCTACCCTCATTATTACACTTTGTAAGGACCATATTGTGCTTTCTGATTTTGTTGTGGGACTACAACTTTAGCCTAGCATTAACAACAAGTTCATCACCAAGAATTGTGTCTACAGGGTTGAGATGTGCGCTTTGAATCTTCCACCACCTGCTTTTGCATCTCGACCTGGTAGCTAATCTCATTCTGCTCGAGCCTCATCTACTTTGAAGATACCTTTGAGGCTGCAATGACCGAGATGTTTGCTTAATAGGAGGACATGTGGTTAGGGCAACAAGCTTTTCGGTAAGGCCAGGTGTCCCTGATGGACAACATATATCAATTGTCTCTTGGTATCCTTGATTTTCTTAACGATGCTCTTATGACAAGGAGCCAATTTGCAGCTCGGATTCCTTGGCCTATGGGTAGGCCTACATCTTAGTGAGGAGTGATACAAACGTTGTTGTTAATGATGATGATGATGAAATGAAAGTTTAACTACTTTTATGCCTCTAGAACATACAAGTTGGATGAAATGGGCAAATTGAATGGAGTTTTGATGCCCTAGAATTGTCTTTGACCGAAAATTCAAGTTTTTATGTGTTTCCACACACCGAAACTTCCTTTTTTTCTTTCCTTCACAACATAATAACCACTTTTAGAAATTTACTTATCCTTGAGCAAGCTTAGACATTCACTAAGCGAGACAACATACTTGTTCGACAAGTATCAGGATTGAGTGATGAGCGAATTATGGTTGAGAAAAAATGTCCTGGTAAGAAATCCTCCGATCTTTTTTAGATATCAATTTTCCTACACAATAATCTTAAAAAAAACACATTATATTTAACTTGAAAGAAATAAAAAAATTTAAATCTTCCCATGAAAAAATCATATAATAATGAATAAATACAAATATAAGATTAAAAATAAACATAAATAATAAGTATTTATCACACTTATCAATTAATTGTGGACATTAATGTTTAAACTTTTATTCTATCTTCAATGATTTATTTTAATTGATCTTTATATTTTTCACATTACTTTAATCCCACATTACCTAATATCTCCATGTTATACTTTAAGTGCTTAATTTATAAATGTTTTTCATTGATGTCTAATTCCACTTATGTCTTATCATACTGGATCCATATCATTCTAATGAAATGAATGAACTTTACAATGCATTTCAAAGATCAAATTAATTTCTGAAAATAATTATAAAAATGTTTTCGATGGAATCATTATCTTTATTAGAATTAGTTTTCTTTTATATCTAAAGTTAATGCATTCAAATTGAAAATCTCCCCAGATTGCAAGTTTAAACATAAAGAACTCCAAGGAAAAATGTACTTGTTTTGATTAAAATAACACAAGTTTCAATAATTACATTGCATAGAAAAGAGTTTCCTAAAAAGAATTTAACCTATATTTTCATCAGGCTTTCTGTGTGAGATTAAAGTTGTCTGGAAAAGTTTCCAATGATAATAAACAAAAGATGCCTAAAAAAGGGTGATGGATCCTTATAAAGTTACCTAAATAACTTGGCAAGTAAATAATATTTATTTGGTTAAATAACTAAATAATATACTACTACCACTCATTGGAGGACTGATTGGTAGGAATATGCCACAGGCTTCTGCCAAGTTTGCCACTGTTGGGTAAAATTCATATGCTCTAAAACGAAGAACATCTTCTCAGCATCTTCCCCTGCATAATAGTACAACGTGTGAAAATTGGAAAATTTTGTGGGCACGCAAGAGTAGCGTTTTCTGTTCCCATTTTCTATGCGATCATATTGGATATTTTAGTGACATGTTTGGGCTAGATTAACAAAAATATGCCTACGATATCAGGCATCTATTATCTTTAATCAGTATCTTCTCCCTCCAAACATCTTTTCTATAATTTTTCAGTATTTCCTACTCTGTGTAGCTTCTAACACGAGTCTCTCTTTAGCAAAAGACAAAGGCAAACATGGTATAGATGTTGCTACATTCTCAAATCCAGGGTGCTAAATTTCCCTGCAGTTGTTTTTAACAATAAGCTAGTGACTAAAAAACCGTTTTTTTTTTATCGGCATAGAGCTATAAACTTAACATAGCCACGATCATGGGTTGGATACAAAGAGGAGACCATAATAGGAATCCACTAACCACAAAACTTTTAGAACCTTTTTTTAGATGTTATTCTGCTTGCACAGCTACCAGAATAAACCAGCTGAAACTAATATAAATAGACCTTCTCAGGAGCTCAACTTCAACAGAGCAAATAAAAAATTCTTCAAGTCCCTTCTACCTTAGTTAAGAGTTAAGCTTTAAAATAGTCAGATTTTGCAGCAATGGACTTGCTGGCATCTTTGTATGCTGACAAGCCAGTGGTGATCTTCAGCAAGAGCACTTGCTGCATTTGCCATTCTGTGAAGGCTCTCATACGCAGCTTCGGTGCCAACCGTACCGATATAGAGGTTGACAAAATGGCAAATGGGGAGCAAATAGAAAGGGCACTGATTCAGCTGGGTTGTCGCCCAACTGTACCAGCAGTGTTCATTGGACAACGATTTATAGGTGGTGCTGACGAACTCATAAGGCTCAACGTCCAGAACCAGCTTGCCCAGTTGCTTTTAAGTGCTGGAGCTATATTTCTTTGGAGGCCCTAGTCTTCTTAAACCTAATAATGTTTCTATTTAGTTCCTAGCCTAGCTATCAAAACTATACATCAGCTTTAGTGACAGAGCTTCTTCTAGTCTGTTCCTACTCTNTCAATTAATTGTGGACATTAATGTTTAAACTTTTATTCTATCTTCAATGATTTATTTTAATTGATCTTTATATTTTTCACATTACTTTAATCCCACATTACCTAATATCTCCATGTTATACTTTAAGTGCTTAATTTATAAATGTTTTTCATTGATGTCTAATTCCACTTATGTCTTATCATACTGGATCCATATCATTCTAATGAAATGAATGAACTTTACAATGCATTTCAAAGATCAAATTAATTTCTGAAAATAATTATAAAAATGTTTTCGATGGAATCATTATCTTTATTAGAATTAGTTTTCTTTTATATCTAAAGTTAATGCATTCAAATTGAAAATCTCCCCAGATTGCAAGTTTAAACATAAAGAACTCCAAGGAAAAATGTACTTGTTTTGATTAAAATAACACAAGTTTCAATAATTACATTGCATAGAAAAGAGTTTCCTAAAAAGAATTTAACCTATATTTTCATCAGGCTTTCTGTGTGAGATTAAAGTTGTCTGGAAAAGTTTCCAATGATAATAAACAAAAGATGCCTAAAAAAGGGTGATGGATCCTTATAAAGTTACCTAAATAACTTGGCAAGTAAATAATATTTATTTGGTTAAATAACTAAATAATATACTACTACCACTCATTGGAGGACTGATTGGTAGGAATATGCCACAGGCTTCTGCCAAGTTTGCCACTGTTGGGTAAAATTCATATGCTCTAAAACGAAGAACATCTTCTCAGCATCTTCCCCTGCATAATAGTACAACGTGTGAAAATTGGAAAATTTTGTGGGCACGCAAGAGTAGCGTTTTCTGTTCCCATTTTCTATGCGATCATATTGGATATTTTAGTGACATGTTTGGGCTAGATTAACAAAAATATGCCTACGATATCAGGCATCTATTATCTTTAATCAGTATCTTCTCCCTCCAAACATCTTTTCTATAATTTTTCAGTATTTCCTACTCTGTGTAGCTTCTAACACGAGTCTCTCTTTAGCAAAAGACAAAGGCAAACATGGTATAGATGTTGCTACATTCTCAAATCCAGGGTGCTAAATTTCCCTGCAGTTGTTTTTAACAATAAGCTAGTGACTAAAAAACCGTTTTTTTTTTATCGGCATAGAGCTATAAACTTAACATAGCCACGATCATGGGTTGGATACAAAGAGGAGACCATAATAGGAATCCACTAACCACAAAACTTTTAGAACCTTTTTTTAGATGTTATTCTGCTTGCACAGCTACCAGAATAAACCAGCTGAAACTAATATAAATAGACCTTCTCAGGAGCTCAACTTCAACAGAGCAAATAAAAAATTCTTCAAGTCCCTTCTACCATAGTTAAGAGTTAAGCTTTAAAATAGTCAGATTTTGCAGCAATGGACTTGCTGGCATCTTTGTATGCTGACAAGCCAGTGGTGATCTTCAGCAAGAGCACTTGCTGCATTTGCCATTCTGTGAAGGCTCTCATACGCAGCTTCGGTGCCAACCGTACCGATATAGAGGTTGACAAAATGGCAAATGGGGAGCAAATAGAAAGGGCACTGATTCAGCTGGGTTGTCGCCCAACTGTACCAGCAGTGTTCATTGGACAACGATTTATAGGTGGTGCTGACGAACTCATAAGGCTCAACGTCCAGAACCAGCTTGCCCAGTTGCTTTTAAGTGCTGGAGCTATATTTCTTTGGAGGCCCTAGTCTTCTTAAACCTAATAATGTTTCTATTTAGTTCCTAGCCTAGCTATCAAAACTATACATCAGCTTTAGTGACAGAGCTTCTTCTAGTCTGTTCCTACTCTTAATTCTTCGCTTCTTATTGTAGTGCGCAATTTCATTCTCAATTTTTGTGTAATGTAAGTCAAGTATATGCCTGACTTGACCATGGGCCAAGGCATGCACATCTTATCAAAAGCAAGGTTTCTCAATTCAAGTACAAGATTAGTGATGAATTTTAGTTATTAAACCAAACTGATGAACAAGTCATAGTGTATTTGATTTTCTTTTACGAATCCAAACAATATTATTTGAGCAAAAGTTATGAGAAACAACTTACTTTTCTTCAAATCATAATCCAAGACTTAAAAAATGAAAGCTCCTTAGAAAGAAAAAATAAATAGGGTAAGAAAAACTAGGCAGGGAATTTGAATTTGAAATATGTATAAAAAAATGATAGATCATGTAAATATGTGTGTTAATAATTTGTGTATGTTTACTCCCTGAAGATTTCTTAGAGTGTAACCAATAGATGAATAAACAAACAAGAGTCGCTATAAATCCCTTCCATTGTGCAAGACTGTTATTTATGTGCATTGCATGAAATAGTTTCTACACCCAATTAGTTTAGCAACGAAGTGAATCAACATGTTATACAGAAAATTTTCCTCATCTACCTCAAATTCTTCTTAATAAGGAGGTTGCAGGACACCAAAACACTGATATATCTGTCAATGAGGAAGATATCATAGTGTAGCTTTCTCATACATATTCCTCGGTGTATAAGTGAGAGATCTTGATAGAATGGTCACAGTGAAAAGACAAAAGAAAATGTATAGAAACATCGCGTTCACAAGCAGAACCAGATGTCGAGGAATCCTAGTCCCCACTGTGATGCCAAGAACTGACCTCGCACTACCCACCAGTTACTTTTGATCTGCACTAATTTCTACAAGCGCATATGCCAGAGTACCTTTCAGTTTTGTTGGAAGGGCCAACAATAATTGAGCTTCAGCATATACATATGATAAATAAATAAATAATATCACCAAGTATTCAGCAATGTTAACTAGATTTTAGATAGGAACTTAACCTACCACCTTTAAATACCTTTCAACCACAATTTTTTCAAAGTGCTAAGAAGAACCACCTTATTAAATCAATGCCATACATATAACACACATATATGAGGCAAAAATTAAAAGTTAATAAGTGGTATTACATAGGTTGTGTAATTCACAAATATAGAAATAATACTTTTGTAAAATGCTTACAATAATCACAAACAATAATTTTCCAATGTGTGTAGATTCACTAACATTAAGAACTTATTTGCATTGTGTTGTGCAAAACTTTCGAACATACAACTGGAATTTCTTAAATTTTTCAAGAATCTCTTATAATTAAGTAAAACTTTTTTTAAAAGAATAAAAAATACTCCGAATTTTCTGAACGAAAATATAAGATAGATAAGAGAATAAGAGAGAAGAAAAGAGAGTGCGAAAGTGTGCTTTCGGAGGTGAGCATAAGCCTTTATTCATAAATGTTAGAAATGGATAAAAATTACGACCTTCACATATGAATCTTGTGACTTGCAGAGGAGGTGAACCTTGTGAGTTGTAGAAAATGGACGCACATCTTGCGGCTAAAGCCTCCAAACAACTTGCAAAAGAATAATTAGATGAAAGTGGCTTTCGATCCTTGCAATTAAAGCTCACCAGAATGAAAATCGAGATGTGCGACAACTATATCAAAGCTGAAGAAAAAAGGAATGACTCCTCTAGGGTTCATAAGGAAGGAGGCAGAATTATCTTTTGTGAAACTCTGTTTTCCAACAATTTCACACATATTGAAAAAGATAAAAAGAATGAAAAAAGAAAAACATTTTATGTCTCATATATAGGATGTAATGCATTAGAGTTGATATAAAAATCAATATGAACCAATAGAAACTAACACACAATGTACTTGATATAGGAAGTTATATGAACCAAAATACTTAGCATGTGTTAGCGGTCTATCAATCACAATATGCTTTCACAATATTTGTTGTTATTGTTGTGTTGTCATTACTAGGTCATGGGTATACCCACTATTCATGAGTACTCTAGAATAATGTCAAGATCTCATACATGTGGTCATATAAATGATTTCAAGTGTATACTACAAATCATACTACATTATGAAATCATAAAAAAATTTATTTACTAAATTTTTTTTATTATTAAATTTTAATTACAAAACTTAACATCTTTGTAATGTAATCTCTAACATTTTCTTATTCTTTTCTTTTATCTCGTTTTCTTATATATCTTTTGATATATATATATATATATATATAT